GGGGAGATGCCTGATTTCGCCATTCATGATACCCTTGTAGAAGCCCCCTGGATCTTGTAATTATCAACTATCTTGACCTTCGAATCCGACTGTAAGCTCCACAATGCTCACCTTATGAGCTATCATATCTCGTCATGTCTTCTCACTCACCTTTCCTTAACAGCCCAGTGCAAGTGTTTGGGCTCTTGATTGCAATATTGTGAGCTTGCATCATACTTGAGGTTTAAGTCGCTCGATGGCCTGTGAGCGAGACGGCGTGGGACAAGATGTGCATAGTTTCAGGCTAGAAAGTGTGGTCGTAGATAGATAATGTTGTATTTCATAAACGTATATAACAATCTGGATCGTGAGCAACGTAATGGTGGTTGGCAGTCTGGGAAAGAAACACGAAGGAATGTAGGGCCAGGAGAATGCGGATACCCAACAAAAACCGTTGAAAGAGTCGAACTGGCCATGGGAGTAGAACCATGTATAGGTACTGAAAATGGAATAGCGCATGTCATGCGTGACCCAAGCGAGGCGATGCCAATGAAAATCGCTCAAGTGCCTGTAAGGCTGACAGAAAGCTTGCTGCTGGTGATCCGAGCTCAGGCGACGTCTGTGGCCTACCAATCATGGAAACTCTCTAGTCGAAGTATTTGACCGTACGACCTATCTCGTAGTTGTAAAGATCTGTAGCTGTCGAGCCTCGTGGTCTCTCTGGTGGGTAGTCAACAGGGCAATTGTAAACTTTGACAACAACACCGCGCTGGTGAATCCCTAGAGGAGTTAGTTTGGGTGTGTGTTCCTGAAGCGAGAACTCACTGGTGAATCGATACCCGTGCCATGGGTTCCAGCGCCCTGCTGTGAACATATGGGGCAAAACCGACGGAAGATACTCTCGAGAGGTCGTGAAGGCCATCAGAGCCAGAAATATCGGCAGCTCACCCACGACTCCGCCATATTGAACGTGTGACGCAGTAGCGTTGGTATGGTATATGTCAGGTAAGAGCAGGTCTGCCGCCGCGTTTTGCAGTTGTACACGGAGCATGTTGTACTGGCCAGCATTGGTCAGATAAGACGATTCGGGAGGGTGCTCGTGATAGTTGAACTGCAGTCTGTGGAAAACGTCGTGAACGGGCGGATTTCGCGCATCTCCTTCCAGCACCCAAAATCCAGCACCGCATTCGTAATACACCGAAAAGGTTTTGTACCGTTGAGCATTACGAGGAAGCTGGGGAACTTCGCGTATCTGCACCCCATCGCAGAGCCAAGTCTTGCCGGAAGCACCTACACCGGGCGTGAAGTCGTGACTCGCATAAGGGCCTGTCGTAGGCTGCCAGATACCATGAACATCATACTGGGCAGGAGTATTCCCTAGGTACTCGTAAATCTCGTCGATCTGAAAGAGGTATGAAGGCTGGAAGAATCACTTTAGTAGGGTACACATCCATGGACCTGACGCGACTGACCACTGGGTTGGAATAAGTGTCCGACATTGCTTGCTACTCGTGCGTCTTCGTGCAGTAAATCCCGATGAGCGGCGTAGTTCTCGTGACTGTGATGTGGTGCTCTCACCCGGCTCCAGGCCATCACTGCCCTCTCACTCGACACGTCTTTATCCTTCTCATCGCCATGCGGCTCTGCGTTTAACGAATTGCAACAGAAACCATCCCAGTCAAGAGGTCAGGCGACAAGCTCCTACATGGCAGCAGTGCGGGACGGGATTTCTGATTGACGGCCAAGATTTCGGAGCAGCCCTCTGATAAGCTAGAGATGTCCTGAAAGGGGCATGGCGCAAAATCCTGCATCGGCTGCAGCAAATGTATACGTGGGCTACAGGTAATCAGCCCAGTTTCCCCTACCCCGCTGTGGACATTCTCATTCCCTGGTCGCTGATCTATGTCGTTGTATAGCTGCCTCCGGTTTGCTGGGAGGACGGTATGGGCAAGCAACATCTGCATGTCTTGTGTCGTGTTTCCTGTCCTTCGAAGACTGTGCTCTGTGAGAATGGAATCTTGCCATGACAGCATCATAATAGCAGTAGTGTTTCGGTAGCTGTTGGCCTTCGGCTGCATCTCAGCAAAAAGCATCGGTGTCAACCGGCCGTGGATCGCGCCCAACGTGTCCCATCGCCTGCAGCATAACAGCCGGTCTGAACCGGCGAGCCAACAAGATGGAGTGGCACAGCGCCAACCCAAGAGAGATCAAGGGTGGATCCCTCCTAGCGAAGCGCCTTGCGTGTGCCGTCCGTTGCACGGCACTTGTTGCGAAACAGTGGAAGAGCCATCTGTCGAACAGTCTAGCCGAGAGACGTGGCCAAAGCCTGGTTTATGTTGATCTTATGGCTGCAACGTGAAGAAGGTGTCGTGTTCGCGAGGATGTTGCGGCCACATGCACTGTGATTGCCACCAGAATTGTTGTGTCTTGCTTGTGAGTGAGTGGAACATCGCTTCGCAGATCAAGTATGAGTAGGGCTGAATAATGTTGCGTCGTCAACTATGCATGCTTTTTTCCCGTGTGGTCAAACCATTGCCGCGATAAGATGTGCATGTATCTTGGGACAAAGATCCGAGAGGTGCGGCTCTGCGAGAAAGAGGGGTTATAAAGCCGGCGTACGGACATTGTGGACCAACGTTCCTCGGTGGGCGCGTATTGTATTGATCGACCGGCAAGCGTCTCCGACTCTTTGTGCCCGTTCGGCGGCTATCCGAAGCGCCATCTAGAAGTTGTTACAAAATACGTCTCGAGCAAGTAGAAAGGAGCGGCTCCCGATGTATGAAGGGCGAGTGTGTCTTAAGTAGAAAGGAACCGGCTGACAGACTAGGCGTGCGGCCCCAAGACGACCGGAGGACCTTTTTCTGCCTGTTCGCCTTCTTTCCTCACTTTCAAGTATGCCTGATGCTCTTCATTGGTGAGCTTTTTAAAGAAATTGCCGCTAATGTGCAATGGATAAGTACCCCTTACCTAGTTGGCGGCAACAACCTGCTGATCGAAGCAGATGGTTCCTGCAACCTGCATGATCGTGGAACTTCCTTCACCGGACGACGACCCTTGTCGTCTCGTGTGTTCGCCCGACAGCAACGCAAATTGGCGGGAATTACGAACAAGCACTCACCGGTTGACATAGTGGCCCAGGCACACTGGATGAACTTGCCACGATGGAAGTCATGCGCACCTTGACGGCTCAACTCCCAATCAACAGACTTACTGCTTGTGTGAACCGCACGGAACGGAGCGCTCTCTATCGAATCGAACCCCACCGCCGCGCCCGGCGGCTGCTATCAAATCCGGAAGCCGGTCAGATAAGGCAAACTGACGGTATGACCCCGCACCGAAGCCTCGGGCTTCTGAGCGGATACCGCAAAGTAACAGTCAAGGCGGCATGGCCGAAAGAGGGGCGTATCACAGCGTGCGCGGCTTTGATGTCCTGGTGGAGAGGCCATTCGATCGGAATCCTGACACTATACAGGCCCCAACACAGGATATCCACTCACCTCAGCGTGGGCTTGTCTCGATATTGGCATAGAGCACATGAACAGGAGCTGTTTGGTGGTAAGTCTATGACACATGCGGCACAGGTAAGGTCATGTCTGATTTGAGACGCACTAATGACCAGACAACGACTGACTTGGTCGGTAGCAGTATCCCGAGTGGCTCCAGCCGCGATGAATTGGTCGTCGAGAGCCCAGAAAGCAGGCATCCATTGGCCAGGACCAGAACGCCGCTCCTAGAAGCCTTTTGCGGGAGTAAGATCTGGGTCTATGGCGGGCCAAACTGACGAGACGGGCCATTGGCGCCGCGATCGCGAACCTATGGAGCACCCTGCCAAGAAATCACCGGCGGTACGAGATGGACTCGAGGAAGTCGAATGATAGCTCAGCCGAACCGAGATTGGTCTCCATAATGGCCCCGACCATGAGGTGAGGGTTTGGACACCTTATCCGGTTCTGCGGCATGCGATGGTGGAAAGCAACCGTCGGGACCTGGCGGTAACCGGGCCTTGGTCCGAGGTATAAATGACCTAGATGCTTCTGCGCCGTACGCTGGCTCCTGTCACATTCGGATCAGGCTTCTTTCATGTCGCCTGAGTTTTAGCAAGTCTCCACCAGTATTGCGATGCTTGCCCATGCCGTCAAAGGCTCAAGAGCTCGAGTAGGCGCGTCGGTACGGCAGTGTGGGAGAGAAGCGTGTACGAATGGAGAAGCCCTGCAGGCATCGGTATGGACCCAGCCACTTGGACGCGTAGGAATGCAAGTAGCGCGTCGGTCGAGGTAGGCACGGCGCCTGGCTGCAAGAACAGCCATGAAGAGGAGCGTCAAGTATGACGGCGGATGAGCAATAGGTGTAGGAGGTTGAATTTCAGGGCATGACATGAGGTCTGACGCTGGGATGAAGTATGGTACCGGCTGCGGAAGCTAAGGCAAAGACGCGTCTTTCCACACATCGCCGCCCGACCAATCACGACCCACCCGCACCACGTCAATTGTCTGCCTGAAAGTGGTCCGCACGATGGCAGACTGTGCTCCGGACATTGGCAGTTCAGGACAAAGTCCTGGCAACTCGCTATCGCGGTTGAGAATGACGGCGAGTACGTCACCCGGCCTCTTCGTCCGATGAACGTGGTCCTAGCTCTGGCAAAAGGGGAGTTTCGCGTTGCTTCTGCAAAGCTGACCCTACACAGGAGAGCCCACGATGACGGCAATGATCACGTCCAGAGAAGAAGTTGTATTGTTTCGATCTGTACTGAGAAGAGTCCGTTCTACCCTTGATACCAAGTCGCGAGCCATCCATCTTCAAACCAAACAAAGGCGTATATACGATAAACGGAAACTGCTCTTTGCCCCCCGGGTCTATCTTTCACTTTATCTACAGCAGACGACGCCTCTCAAGCCTTCGGCTCTATAGGATAATGCAGAAACTGCAATCCTTCTCGTTCATCTTTGCTGCGGACATGTTGCGCGGAATCTTGAGCCTGGCTTAAAGTCAGCGTGGTCCTCGATGCAGTTTGCCTAAAAGTCTCACGAGTAAACCATATGTCCAACCAATACGTCCTTACACCCGCCAACCAACGTCTCGATATCGCGCCTGGTTTGCTCAGACTCTTGAGCATGCGCCTTCACAAGTCGGGTCTCTGCCTCCAACAGCCTCGCCCAGCTCTCCTCCACCATCTTCACACATCGATCAACGGCAGCCTGCGCACTACATCCCTCGTTCCATACCATCACCGGGATGGCAGAGTCGATATCGCCGTCGTCTATTTCCTTCCGCAAGCTCACAATGTCGTTCCAGAGGAAGTCGGAGATGGCTACTTCGCGAGTTATGGCTACTACAGCTTCGTGGTTCCAGATTGACGGTGGAAGAGTGAGGTTGTAGGCCCATTGCATGACAGCAATGCACGGGTTTGTACCAACAGTTCTCAAACGGCGCGCTGTATATTCCTCGAGAGTAGACATCCCTTGCGCCCATGTAGCCTGAGATGTCTTGACGCCGCGGATAAAGTCGTAGATGGTTTCAGCAAACCGGTCACGTGCTTCTGCAATTCTTGTTAGCTTATAACTGTCTAGCATACTTTGGATGGACGTACCTCTCGACTGGCCTTTCTGCATTGCTCTTCCTATGTTGACCCATGGACCGCAGTTGTGCAACCGCCCCGGTGCCGGAACTTCGCCAGAGAGTTCTGGCTGCAAGCAATGTCGGATGAAATTAATTGTATCGTCACAATAAGCTTCGGCCTTGTCACGATCATCTGTCAGAGTACCGCAATCGATCTCGTCATCCCAGAAAAAGAACTACAGGTTACGTCAGTCGACAATCGCGAAAAGGAATTGGGCCAAGTTACCCAGGCCACAAGCTCTCCTAGAATAACAAACTTATCTGGTTCCACATGTGTCCAAAAGTATCCCGCGCAGAGTCCGTTGTCTACCCTACGTTGCTTCTTCCTTTGACTCTCGGTACTGATGAACGTTTGGAAGTATCCCTCTAGATGCTGTCTCAGCACCAGAACATCCGGGTGCACTTTAGCTGCCCAGTCCGTGTATATGTAATGCACATCCGGAACATGAATTTCTTGATCGCGAAGACGAGCAATGATCCTGGTGCGATGGTCTCCGCGCTTGTTCGGAACTTCCTTAGCCGCGGAGGAGGCGAGCTGTTTAGAGCTGTCGGTGAACTTGGGCATGTAAGAAGATCTCGATCTCGATCGCTGGAGTGGGTAAGTGTGATGATGCTGAAGAAGGAAACAACAAACGATTGAACAAGACTTACGCGTCTAAAGTACGATCTAGGAAGCGACATCCAAGAGCTAAGAATACTAAGAATCGCCATAACGACTCAATGAAAGACAAAAACCAAGTATATTGTACAAGACAATCGCGGCCTCAGTAATATGGCAACGGAACAGAGGTCTTTGTATACTCTCATACCACGCCGTTCACATGCTGGCCCCTCAGTAGTCACTTCCCCGTCGCCTGGGGTCTCGAGGCGCCCTACCATTCACATAAAGCGCTCTTTTACTGCACCTCCGGTAAACGTGATCCACCCTCGAAGAGTCCCCAGAACCAATCGCAACATCTCAAGCTGGATTGAATTGACGTAAGCGAGGCGTTTGGGCACAGTCCACATGTGTGCTATGTAAGGAGCGATGTAAGGGTAATGCGTTGTTACACGGACTCGGCTGTCACTGTACGCCACGTTTCCGCAGCTGTGAGACACGAGAGCGTCCAGCTCCGAATCACGATATACCACTGGGGCAGATGAGACGGCCACCGATCGTCTGAACCCGCGCAGGGTCATCAGCTTGAGGTTAAGTCTGGAACTACATCTCAGCCACCACTGAAATACACTTGCTGACTGCCAGTCCTTTCGCTCAAAATCATTGCGCGTTGGCTTGTCGATTACATCACGAGCTGATAGGTTTACGCCACTTTCCTGCGACTGAGCCACTCTCAGGCAGCTCTTGGGATACGATTGATGGCATCGTATAGCATCGCTGTATGCACCATATCCTGTCAGACTATAGTGACGTCGCCCCAATGAGTGCCTGCAGGTGCTGAGTCATATCCTTAGGCCTTCCAAGACACGGACCCATGGCTTCACATCCGCAGCGCAGGGGCTGAATGCTGAGTGCAGGTATATTACGTAGAATTCAAAGAACTACCCTGTAACTCGAAGCACGGAATAAGAGATATGCCAAGCCATACTGCCGATCTAAGGACCTGCGCACGCACTACTGCGTTCGTAGCAATGCAGCAAGATGTGCCGAGTATCTTGAAGTGTTATCGGCATACAGCTCGTTTGGATGCAGCTCGTTGACCCTTACATAGAGGCCACACGTTCGATAAGATAACCGAGCGTGCCGAGCCACAATCGGCTTCCCGGGTCTACTATGCCACCCAGTCACAGGCGTAGTGGCGCTTTGGGAAGCGAGACTACTGGACAATGCAGATATGGCACATAATCACAGCACGGCGATACACAAGCGGTGTGCACTACGATACCCATCGTGCGCATTCAGAATACAAACGTGTGGTGCATGGAGGTATATTGGAAGGGTTGGAGGATCATGTTGCCGTACGGTCGTCAGACATTGGATTGTGTGCAATCGAATGGGACAGGTGGAGCGAGGCGGCAGGGGGCCATCTACTCAAGAATTCAGAGGACAAATAGAAACTTTTAGGATATCATGCATCTATCTAAGACATATCTTCCGATGATCAACCAAGCGTGGCTCAACACCATTCACCGTAAACCTTTACGCCCAAAACCCAGTAAGCCGGGTGACCCGATGGCTTCATCACCACATCAGATCATCCGAGTCCGCCTGACCAAAAGTCTGCATGCCCCCAACTGCTTTGGCTCAGTGGCAGCCACAACAGCATCCTACGTCCTCTTCTTCGCATTGACGTTCTTGCCTGCGCCTACCTTGACTCTGCCACCGGCTCTGCCCCGATCGCCTGTCAGAATGCCCGGCAGGTAGTTGTCATCCATGAGGTCCCTCGTCCTGGTCCTCTTGTCCTCTTCAGCGCGCTTCGTGTATTCCTTCTGGTCTTCAGCAAGGATGAGGTCTCGACCCCAACCGCCTTTGCCTCCTCCCTGACCATGACTCCACTTCGTGTTTGCAGTACCGGCGATGGGCTTGGGGATGCTGTATTTATCGCCACGCTTGTTGTACTGATAGTTCTTGGCTAAGTGGATCTTGAACTCTCCAGCGGCGTTTGTAGAGCAGGAAACCCTTTGTAGAGTTGCTTGACCACAGCGGGGGCAAAATTGCTTGTCCATTTGCTTGACGATGTTGAAACAGGCGTGGCACCGGAGAACCTTGGTGTTGACGTTCTTGATACGTTGCATGTTTGTGGAGAGAAGCTGGAGATTCATCTGGAGCAACACGTTTTGCATCGCAAAATCGATCGTCATGGTTGCTACGTCCAGCTGGCGATTGGCTGTTGTGTGAATTTGCGGTTGGATGGCTCCGTCCTTGGCTTGGTGCTCTGTAAGGTTCTGTGGGGTAATCCAGTCGCCATCAGAGTCAGACTCCGCAGCTGAATCGTCAGTCGTAGGGGGCGTAGGTTGTTGAGTGGCGTGATGGGATACCGAGAGGTCCTCCAGTTCCTGCGCCAGTTTTGATTCGTCAGAGCTGACTTGCTGGGTTGGTAGATCCTGCTGGCTGGAGGTCTCAGGCGCGAGTGAGAGCTTTGCCTTCTGCTCGAAGTGGATGTTGGTGGTAGGCACCTCGACCGCCGCCGATTGGTCGATTGGCCCCTCCTCACCAGCCTGTTCTTGAAGCTGTTCTTCAACTTGCTCTTGGACCTGCTCTTCGATCTTTTCCTCCGCCTGCTCTACAGCTTGAGACTCGAGCTCTCCCCTGCCCTGTTTCTCAAGTTGCTCGTGAATCTGGTCTTGCACCTGCTCGTGAACCTGATCCTGAACCTGTGCAACAACCTGCTCATGTATTTGCTCCTCGACCTGCTCCTGAGTGACAGCTATTCCACCTTCTTCTTCGTCTACCTCGACTTGGGTAGTCTGCTCCTCCGATTTGTTGGCTTGTTCCAGGCTGCTGTCTACCTCCGCTGCGGGCTTGAAGTTGAACTTCGTAGATTTGGGCGCTCTGGCCTTCGCCGCCCGCTTGCCTGTAGGCTGCTCCCAGCCTTCATCAATATCCTCTGGTTCGACGGATCCGGAACCGATCTGTACGCCTTCCGTCGCATCTTCAGCGGTATTTTCGGTAGCCTTGTTGCCTGCCTTCCGCCTGTTCTTGCGCTTCTTTGCTGATGTGGAAAGACCCCCACTCTGCGATTTCTCCTCGTTCAACTGCTCAATCTCTCCAGGCCTCCTCTTTATTTCTCCTTTTGGTATTTCTCTCAGACCCCAGTCGCCACCGTTCCTGTCACAGTGCACTTCGTAAGCCAGGGCTAGGATACCCAAATCCTGCCTACTGAGTACCGCATAATCACCTGTCTTCTTGCTAAACGCAATGACTGCATCGTAGCTTGTCGGCTGAGGATTCCTTATCTTCAGAAATGGGATCAATGTTGTCTGTACACGTGACCGTGTGGCTTCATCGCGGATTTCGGAGAGAATAGCAGGAGTAGTCCATAGTTCCTCCGCGGCGTTGATGATAGTAGAGATCGATACTGTGTTCTTGATCAATGGACCCGTATCCAAAATAAGCGAGTGAACAGGCTTTTGCTGGGTCGCAGTGGGTGTTGCCATCGCGTGGTAGACCGGCAGCAGTCGCAGTCCGGTAAACAGGAGGTTTCAGTTTGTTGTACGTGAAAAGTTGAGACCCTGATATTAAGTTCGGAAGTTTACGAGGTTTGGATCGTCAATATGACTAGGGCGTGCCGCTGGTGTGGTAGAAGATTTCGCGATGGTGGCGGTGGGGCCCGATTTTTTTGGTGTGAGACCCTCACGAATTTTGATTGGCCGGATCGCGCTGGTGGCAGTAATGGGAGCCTCGTGCTGGAAGTAGATAAGTCGACGTTGGTTCAACATATATTGAGTCGAACGTTTTTTTGTAACACTGAGAGACGACTAAGATTATATTCCATAGCCCTCGATATTGCTTTTAGTCTCGTTCGTAAAGTCGGGAATCTCGATAGAATGAATCCTCCAAACGCCGCCCAATGCTAAGTCGGGAGTCTACCCCAACATCGCTTGTGGTATATCGTACACATACATCAATGACATGAATTCCATCCCAGGTTCGACTCATCGTCGTGATGGTCGCCTCACAGACACTACGCGATAGGTTTGCTTCTCTCGTCCTCTGGCATACGCATATACGCATCGATAGCCGCACTGAAAACTGCGAAGCCTGCGCATCCTACGGCCACGGCTTGCGGCCCAGCGTTTCTTGCCAATATACCCCCAGTCAAGCAGCCCCCCGCCACTCCATTGTACAGATCGTTCTTGGCTCGGAGGCCCTCGATTGCGCACTCGGTGCCTGAGAAAATAGCACCAACTTTGGCGAAGTTGCGGCCGCTAGAAATCGAGGATCGGTACATATCGCGCAGGCCGGCCCGTAGTTGCTGGCGTAGGGGGAGGTCGGTAAGCGGTACGGTACCGGTGGCGGTGGGGTTTGGAAGGGTAGCAGTCGCAGAGGCCGAGGGTGCTGAGGTAAGAGTGGCTGCGGATGCGGAGTTGACGCTACCGGCAGCTATCGTCGAAGGCTTGACGCCTGCCGTTGCCGTTGCGCCGGTGGCTGCGGTTGTAGGTTTTGTAGCCGGCGTGTTGACGGGGAGGGGCTGTGACATCGGGGTGTCGTATCGCATCTGTGCATGTCAGTCGCGCCTTCTCTTTCTTTCGAGACCATGAGTTGTTTGGCCACATACGGAAGCCATGAAGAGTCCAAACATAGCACCTAGACCGCCACCCATTACGCCTGCCATTACTGTCTTGCCGATGCAAGACTCCATACCCATTTGCATCTACTCGAACGTTAGCCATGATTCCCCAAACACATTATCTGACAGCCTTGTATAGCCAGCTACGCCCTCGCGACATGCTATCCTGTTCCACCGCAAATGCATAGAGGAGACGAGGTCGCACATACTGCTTTCACCATTTGCTGCTCCTGCTCGGACATGCCTGCATTGGGATTCATGGCGGCTGGCATGGAGCCCACGCCTCCTGGAAAAGCCATCTTCTTGAAGCTGATTACGACTGCGGCACAAAGCAAGC